ATATTAGAATGTCTATCGCTGCAAGGTACAATCGTCCGAGCATTCATCGTTATACTCAATTGTCACCTCGAGTCCGAATACCCGGAACAGTCTGAGCAGTAAGTTCCTTTTTTGGGAGTAGTGGAAAGATCAATAAAGCTTTGAAGTTAAAAAGACGTCAAAATGAACAAGCATATTTTTCCGATAGCAACTAGTCTAATGTGTTCCTTTACAGTTTACTACAGATAACTGAGCTGGCTGGCATTCTTTCACTTCTTTTCACCGTTTTCGGTTCACATGCAATGGCAAAACTCACCGGTGTAGGTTCTTAGCACACAATAACCCTCATAACCATCTTTGGGAATAAAAATTTTTCTTTACATTCGCATGTTCCAGCCCTATATCCAACAATACAAGATCATCACAATGTTTCGCTTCACTGATATCTCATTGCCATTATTTACGGCTCAGCTACCGCTAATTTTTGACCTCATATTTATAAAACTTGGAGTAATTACATGTGGACCTGTACAATCAGCACTTGGAAATGCAAAATGTAAGTATAGCAAAACACTAAAGCGACTGGAAGTATTATATATTCAACATAAATTCTTTTAGATATAAATAGCTTTGTGCTTATATGCGAGGCTTTCCTTCTATCACTATTGTCCTCAAGACTATTGACTCCCGAAAAGTAAGTTTAGTTCTGTTCAGACTGGAGTAACGTTTGCTATGTAAATTGCAGATGTGCTCTGTTTGATAAATATCCACAACGTCAACTGGAATCGTCGGGCACGCGGGAAAAAATGCTGCCCAAGCAAGAGTGGTAGTTCATCTCGCAAATGCTTTGATTATAATAAAATTTAAAATCACAGTAATAAAATCTTCTTGTTAGATATAGTCTGTTTGTGCAGTAAGATGAAAAATTCATCAAAATTTTTCCGACTTACTAGTTTAATTCAGCACACGGTAAAATCACAAATAAGAAAGTTGAAGATTTTGATGAAGAATGGGTATAAGCATGATGATCTGCTTTGTGCTTTAGTGTAGAAAGATTCATGTAGTAAATAGACAACTTATTAACTCGCCAAAAAGATCTTCCAGAACAGATCATTAAGAGCGCGTATGACTACAAGCAACCTCTGTATTTATGTATTATGTAACCGAAACAATATGTGACCAAATTTTCTTCTTCATGCCATGGAACCAAATGACCAATTAAAAACTAATAAACTCTGATAAGTTGAATGACTTATGAATCAGACACTCTCGGTCACCTAGAGATCGAGAAAATCCACAAAATCATAAGGGCAATTAGAAGGCAAACCGCACAGATATATAAGGCAACGAATCTTGCACCAATTTGAGCAAATGAAGTTCAACCACGTATTGGAGGTAGTGTGAAGAAATGTGAAAGCTCGATTAGAAGGGAGTCATTATCGTTTGCCTGACCCGCCCTTCAACTCCATTCTCGAGATGAAGACATCTGCAATACAAGATTTTTTGAAAATATAAGT